GAGTGAACGGCTGTGTGGTGTTTAGCTGCCTGCTGGGTTAAACCACACCACCATGTTATCTGTGCAGGCTTGTTGGGGTCTCTCTCTCCATCACGTGCAACCTGGGGGCCAATTTCAGGCCAACCTGATGAATGAAGATTTTTAAGATCTTGAAGTTGGGCAGTGGTGGAGCAAAGAGACTCTGCTTAGGTACTGACTGTCTTATCCTTTTAGAGTCTATGAATGAGTTGGTTTTTCTCCCAAAGCTTTTCCATAAGCCTCTCAGACAGCCACCCTGCAGGTCTGCTGCTCTGTTCAGACTTGACCATCCTTCCTCAACTTCCCTAGCCCAGCTGTAATCAGCCCAAACCCAGCCCATACATCCAAGCAAAGACCGTCACAGGGTGTCATTACTCAGTTCTGGCTGTGTGTTCGTGGGAGAGGTGGCCTTGTTGGAGGCACCCTGTGCTCCTGCAGAGCCACTGCTTCAGGAGTGCTGGTGTAGAGCCTCCTGTGCTGGCTGACCTGGAGGCAGGACCAGCAGGTCATCTTCCCCAAACACCTTACCTTATTCTGAGGAAAGGAAAGCAGGCAGAAAAAGAGCATTCTGCAGATTGTCTGGCCTGCTTGAAACACGCTGTTCCCCTGATAAGCCTGCAAGGTTGACGGGGGAGCACACACGATGCTGTCCTGCTGGGCTTTTGGTGGAGAAAACAAGCAGCAGCTTGGACATCATCCTCCAGCCCTGCTCTAATAGGAGTTGTCCTGGTTCTTTGGTATTTTCATTAAATGTGCCTGGAGTGCTGGGGTTAGCAACCACCACAGCGCTTCCCTCCTCTCGGCTGGAGAAGAAACCCTAGCAGTTCCCTTCCCTTCTCCACAGGGCCAGGAGGAAGGAAGAGGGATGCAATGGGAGCGTCTGAGCACTGGGGCCACTGAAGGAAGGCTGAAGCAGGACCCACAGGAGCCCTTGGTGCTCTCCCAACTGCTCACTCCCATCAGCATCCTCAGGGCATGGCACCAGAGAGAGGTGGCCTATGCAGACTTGTCATCCCTCTGTCCCCTCTGCTCTGGGACACTGAGTGAGGAGCAGAACATCAAATGCCACACGTCATCAGGTATGAAAGCCCACAGACCCTGCACACACACAGTCTCCATCGGAAAGCAAATGGCAGGGACACCTCGGGGAAGTGGCTGTGGCCAGTCCCTGCCATGCTGCGCACACAGGGAAATTACAGGGGCTGTAAATGGCATTAATGGCAGGGTAGAGCACAGCAGCCTAGCGTAACGATTGCCTGCTGCGAGGGACACTTAGAGGCATTTCTTAAAGCCCAGGGCAGGAAGCAGAAGGGAAAGAGTCCACAGCCTGGACATCACTGCTCCGGTGGATGGAGAACAGCTCCAGGCAGGTTTTGCGAAGGGTTGCTCCTCTCCCCTCTGGGCAGCGTGTATTCCCACCACACTCTGCAGCCAGCTTGGGGTGACCACAGCTCGCCACTGCACCTGATTTCTACCCAAAGCTGCAAAGTCCTTTTTGCAGCAGTCAAGAGCTTAAAGGAGTGTCCAGCCCCTCCACCTGCACTGAATGGCAGAGGGAAGGCCTGGGAGACTGCGGCCCTGCAGATGGGTGCTGAAACTTCAGCTATCTGCATGAACCTCCTGGCTGGTTGTGGGTAGAGATAAGCAGGCTTTAACCAAAACAGACGGTTCAGCAGAGCAGGGAGAGGGGAGCAGAGCAGCTGGAGGAGCACAGATAGCATAAGCTGCAGCCCAGACATCAAGGACGAGCAGCCTTGTTTACAGCAAGACAGACTGGGAGTTATCCTCTGTGGGCACAACATTGCTGGTCCCGCCTGCCAGTTTGGCAGAGAGCAAGCGCCACAAGGACTGCTGGCTCCGAGGCCAGCTGTGCTACCACGTGCCATCTAGCTCCACGCCAAATCGACAGCACGCGTCCTCCCCCAGCCCACGGCCACCAGAGCAGAGCCACTGGGCAACCAGCTGCTGGTGGATGCACTGGCCATGCCTGGGAGGAAGCTGAAAGCAATAAATAATAACTAACACTGGCAAACACCAGCTCAGACCAGCAAGGTGGGGGCTAGGGAAAGGGATTCACTCGCTCACCCAGGACCCCGGAGGTGTCATGCCGTGCATCTGAGTGCACTGGCACAAAGCAGAAATAGGTTGCGGTTCTGGGCCTTGGCTCTGGAAACTTCCTGCCGCCGGGAGATTTTAATGCAAGAAAATAATGCAGTGATGTTAGACTTCTATCCTTTAGCTTCCCTTAAATTAGAAGTAATAAAAAGTGTCTGCAACGTGTTCCTTGAAGTGTCTCCAGCCCCTGCAAGTGCATCTACAGCAATTAATTGTGCTTTAGATCAATGGTAAAGAAGGACTTGGAAGTACTAAACCTCTCTAGGAAAGAATAAATTGCAACTATGTCAAAAGTAATCTCAATGTACAAGTATGACAAATCTCTTAAATATAGAGTAACCTCCTCCTTCAAACTTTAGTTGGTTTTCCTCCCTGTAGAACAAGTCACATGTGACTGGTAGGTATGGGAGACATCCCCCAGATGAAACAAGAGACAGCAGACTGGGACGGACACATGCAATCTTTTCACTGGGCTGAAAAACCTGAATTAAATGGATGGGAGCTGGGCAAATCAACAGTACAGCCTGTAACCCTGGCCACTGGGCTGAGAAATAAGAGACCTTGGAGAGATTCCCACACCCCTCTCCTTCCTCCATCCCTTCTGCATTTCTCATCAGCACAGACATTCTCCTACTGTGTCTGCGGGTGCATGCAGCACCTGGGGATCCTGCCCAGCATTGGGGCCCCATGATGCTATTACCTATTTGGTTGAAATTTTGTAGGTTGGCAGGGAAGGGGGCAAGAGGAACACTTGGTAGGGGAAGGGACTGATCCAGGTGTCTTGAGCTGGCCCCAGGATCCGGAATGACTCCTCACATTTATATGGTCATGCAGTGCCCTAAAAAGCACTGTACTAAACCTAGGCTGAGTCCGTGTTCCCTGTTCCTACTTGCAGTTTGGTTGGCCTGTGAGCTCAATCATGTTGCTGGGGTCCAGTGACTTCTGCCTCGTGGCCCCATCTAGCTCAAAAGGACACTTGGTTATCCTTGATTTACAGGGGCTGCAAGAGTCCCTTCTTCCCAGCGCTTGCATCCCAAATGGAAAGTTTGTCTGTTCTGTGATGGAAAGACATCTGCCAAGACACAGATTCCCTGAATCTAAGTGACAGTCAAGCTCAGTTCTCCTGAGACGTGTCCCTCAGGCAGAGGTTGCAGTCAACTTCTAAAGGTAGGTGCAATTTCCTGGGAGACCTGTCTTGCGTGTAATGGCTAGTTTCCCATCCTTAAGAGCCATCTCTTCTACAGAAAACCACTTAAAGCAGTACAAAGACACACAGGACGCACAGACATGCACTGAAAGATAGAAGCAGCACCTCGATTTACTGCGGGACTAGAAACAGCATATAACCTCCTCCTCTAGATTTCTCCACTTTTAAAGCCCAAGACGCAGCTGTCTTCTGCCAGCCCTCTGCTTTCCGACATCTGGCAGGGTAGTAAAGGTCAAACGACAGAGCAAGTTGGGAGATATACAAACAGTTAAGCCATCTTTTTGCTGAAGTCATGTTTACAGACCAGCCACTCCCATAGGAATCAATAGGCTTTGAGTTCCTGCAAAATAAATAAATAAGTAAATAAATAAATAAAAAAAATACCAAGTCATGTTTGAGTTCCTGCAAAATAAATAAATAAGTAAATAAATAAATAAATGGAAAAAATACCAAGGCACAGAAGAGCTACTGTTATACAAAGATGCCCTCTGCCGGTCACAAGCCAAAGGAAAGCCATCCACCTGAGCTCTATGCCAGTGATTTGCAACTTCCCTCCCTCCCTCCTTTTATAGATGAACCCCTAAAAATATTCCCTATGGAGGGAAATGTGCTGTAATACTTAAATTTAGTGTTTTTTCCCATGACAGCTGAAGTGATCTAGCAGCAAACTACTAGCAAGGGCAGTCCAGCCTCCCCTCTCCTTTGTTTCAGACCTTACGATCCTTGGGTAAGTCAAATAGCTTCAGTTAAAATCCAATAGGGAAACAAAAGCATCGAGAGAAATGTTCTGCCAGGTCAGCCAGCTGAACTGACTCCCTAGCTGCCTTGATGTAATATAAGGAAAGTGGTGAGAACACAGGGCCACGGAAAAAAGTGACACATCCACATTATTTGAGACTGGCTTTGCCGTAATGGTTAACTTTTGCAGGCATTTGAAACATTGTCCACAAGACCCCGCAAGTTGAAAACAGCTCTTGCAGTCAATACTGACTAAGAGCTGAAAACTATTGGAGGCACTAATCAATTCAGAGCATGTTTCTCTCTCTGCTTTAAATAGCAATGTTATTTGATTAAAGCTATGATTTTAAACAATTTCTAAGAAGTATTGAGAGCTTGCTCAAATGACACAAATTGCAGATTTTAAATGTTCTGTTAGGTCAGTCTATTGAAACAATGCAGATCTATTGCACACACACATCAGTATCAGCTCAACTCTTTCTTGTATCAGTTTAATTCCTGCTGGTGTAAATCCCTGATTTAATTTACTGACTGGGAATTAAATCAGCATGAACTGGTTTCAATGCATCTGTGCTGGGTATTTGTGATGATCAAACCAGACCAGTTTAGAACAACGTCACTGGATTAGAAAGCTCCACTGACAGAAACAAGCTCTTAAGAGATGCAATATAATAATCTTGGACACTAAAGAACAGTACATGCAGTGAGTGGGCAGCCCTCTCCTCCCACTTCATTCTTTTCCACTCAAATTGAACCCTGTCTGCAAAAACATTTCACAGTCAGGAAAGAGTTTTGTGCATGTCCTCATAGTGTTGGGACTTTAGGAAAATCGACAGGCTGCAACAATCAGGCTGTCTTTGGGATAGATGTCCCGTTGGTCAGGGGCTGTGTGCACCTGGAGCTATTCTGAAACCCAACATTTTATGTCCATGAGGACAGCATGGTGCTGCTTTTTTTCCATCCTCCAGTTTAGTGGAGGATTAACGGCGATATCAACAGAATCAGATGTTGGAGGTCCTTGTGCTAACAACCAACTGCCTGCATCACGTACCCACAGGGGTCTTTGTGTCCCATCACCCTCCCTGGTATTGTTGGGGGCCACCACTCTCTCTGGTCAGCTGGTGAATGTCTTTGGGATTTGTTTTCATGCACGATATGCTCTGGCAAACTCTAGGTTCACCTGGGAATGGCACAGAGGCTGTGTTCTACCTCTCCACTACAACCATGGCTGGGATCACATGGGCTTTGCAGAGCAGCTAAAGGGTCCCACACAGAAATGGTGCTGGCTGTATGTGGTCCTGCTGCTTCTCTGATATGAGGGGTTTGCTGAAGCTAGACCTGCAGGTCTTTCCTACTTTGTGCTTCCCAGGAAGCAGCCTGTTTTATGGGGAGAGCTGGAACAAGCTCAGACCTCTCTCTTCAGCATTTCATTCACCTGGTATATACCTAGCCTACTCACACCAGGCAAGGCTACTGCACGGTCTTCTCCCCAAGGTAGGAAGCGTTCTTTCCAGTCTTCTTTAGGGTTTCCAGTAGGGTGTCAACATTGTGCTCCGAGTCGATGCACACCTTCTTGTTGGGCAGGTCAATATCAAACTGGACACCTACAAGGAAAGGAAAAAAATTTTGTACAGCTAGAAGCAGCCAAATGGTGTGAGCACGGGGAAAGCTCACCTTCATACATTTGTGCTCCCAAGGCCATCAGTCAAATATACGTGTGCCTCCTGCCAGCAAACCCTGATACCACCACCAGCCAGCAAAACCAACCTGGTGTCCTGCCAGCAATAGTACGAAGGAAGCCAGATCTCCTATAGATCTGCATCGGGCACCACAGTTTCTCAACTGCTTTAATCTGTTCACCTCACCTTGGATTAACACAATCACTCACACAATAACCAGAATGAGCTGAGCTTAAACCAAGCACTGTAATCTCCAACCAGCTCAACCTGTGCTGTGGTTTAGCATGGATAGGCACTAACGAGGGAGTTAGTGTAGGGGTTAGGACAGGGTCAGGACAGGTTTCCTCAGTGGTGCTACTAGCTAACAGCTGTAAGTAGGAGGAGGGAAAAGACATTTTCCCATGTGGATTTCCCAGTGGCTAGTAAGGGTGAGCCACTCTCAGCCCAGTGAAAGGAACTGGATATGAAGTCTCTATCCAGCCACGTGTTTTCACAAAACTTTTAGGTATGTATCAGCTTTGAGAGCTCTGCCACATCGTCACATGAGGCTGATAATGGCCAGCATGTTGAAGAGTGATGGAGGTGCTGAAAACCACACACAAAGGCAGTGGGATCACCACAGCCTGGTAACAGGGTCTCGGAAGAAGTTGCAAGGCCTTCGCCTTGGTGACTGAAAGCTGTTCTCACTCGGTGAGGACAGGGGAGCAGGATGCCATGTCCTCACAACCGGTGAGTGCAGGCTAGATCCTTCTCTCTTAGTAAAGCATAAAGGAGGCATGGGTTATAATTTTCCAGGTGGTATTAAAAACAGGCTATGCAGGCAACCACCAAACGCTCTGCTCAGCAGCTCTTCACTGTGACTGCTGATGACACATCTAGGGAAGCACCACAGATACCCCAGGCCTCCTTGGGAACAACGCCTGGCAGGATATCCACCTCCCTTCCTTCTGGCAGCCTGAGCAGAGGTCTACCAGTGTCGTTCCTAGGGGGTTCAGGATGAGGCCCTGGTGATTCAGAGACACCTGCAGCCATGGCAGCTCCTCCCTCCCTTGACATTTCTCCAAGGGTCACACAAGTCCTGCTAAGAACCAGCAACTCGTTACTGACTAAGCAGCAGGCTCGGAGCAGAGCGGGGAGCAGAGGTTTCCAATCAGCCACTTTCAGCTTTTACCCAGAGTGCTACCCTTGCAAGACGGAAGATCCCAGGGCACTGACATCCTGCCCCGGAGCTGGCGTTGCTTCGGCGAGCTGGCTGTCACACACCCAGCACTGACTCACCTCCCAGCCTGTGCAGGACACGGGTGACCGCATTGGAGCAGCCTTCACAGGTCATGTCCACAAAGAACTCGTGTTTCTGAAAAGAGGCAGATGGGGGGGTCAGGGAGGATGCAGCCGGCAGCACACCACGAGCACTTGTCCTCCACACTTGCCTTTTTCCTCGGGGAGGTGGGTTCAAATCCTCCCCAACCAAAAGGTCCATACATGCCACTAAAGGATCCTCAGCAAACCCGAGAGCTCTCGCCTTGTGCTGTCCCTCACAGCGTAACAGGGGCCTTTGGAGACTGTCTGGCCCGACTCAGAGCAGGGCCACCTTGAGGGCCAGCGCAGGTTGCCATCTCTGTGGGCCTCTGCTGGACTGACTCCACTTGCCCTGGGGAGCCCAGGAGAAGCAAGTCTCCTGCCTCCAGCTACCCACTGTCCTGATTTCGTCTGCAAAGTTTTCGGTGCTTGCCCATCCTATTCTTCTTGTGTCTACAAGGCCTCTGGTCCCCAACTTAATAAACTCCTAAAAATATTAACAAAACTGAAACTTAAGGAACATTAATGCTGTTTTTTCATCCCTTTACTCCACCAGGGCCCCAGTGTTATCTTCACTCCTTGTGAGAGATACTGGGTTGAGATAAACATGTTTGCCTGTAACACTAATCATCGCGTTCACCCTTTGGCACCAGACGGATCCTAATTTCCTTTTCTTGCACATGCTTTTTACTTTCCTTAAAAAAGAAAAGTAAAGCTGTTTTTTATTTGTTACTCGCAACCCATATTTCTTTCTATTCAAAACCACCCTTTGCCCCCCACCACTGAGAGGCTAAAACCCTCACAGGCACAATTCACCTGGGAAAGGGGTTCGGGAACGGCTGTTCCCATTAGGATCTTTTGGAGCCAGTAGCATTTTCTTGATTTTTATTTTACAAATGCCCTGCGTGCTCTGGGGGCCGGTGTGCGGGAAGGAGGAATCCGGACGGGGCGGGAGGGGTCCCAGCGCAGCCCCCCACCGCCGGGGCCGTCCCGCGCGCCCAAGCCCCCGCGGCCGGGCG